CAGGATATAAACAGAAAAAATGTGCTCAGACATAGGATGTGATATAGCGTAGAAAGCTTCAAGGATTTTGAATGAAAATCCGGAGTAACGAAATCCTCTTTCTCTCTCTCCCTCTTTCTACCCATCTCTCCTTTCCTCCATTCACCCTCTCCTCTCCTCTTTCTCTCTTTCTCTCTCTGAATAGTCTAAACTAATAGTATAATCGCATCTATTGAGAGTAATAATAAATAATATCATGTATAATGAGTGTACATCGCATTCGACAGGCGCATCACAGGAACGACATTCTATTTTGTATTATTTATAGTTATTTCTCCCGAAGAAAGCTTCCTAATTATGCTTGCGGTTCAACTGTATATAAGATGACTTTTTTTGTAATTAAATATTCTTACGTAATTAGATATTTGCAGAGTAACGACGTGCTTCAAGATTTGTATAGTACATGTTCTTGCATGATATATTCACAATTGAAAAAAAATAATATTACAAGTTAATATATAATATAACAAGTTAGTAATAAATTCATTAAACAATTATAATACTTAGAAATTCTTATGTTGCAAAGCTTTTTTTATGCTGGGTTGTACTATGCATGGAGCGATTTGCTGTCACGAATACATTCACGCAGTAACGTGGGAGAAACTCAAAGGAGAAAACTCGAAGTGCAATTAAGAGAAGGAAGAAAATATTTTTCGTTACAGTAGAATGTTGAATGTCTTCTTGGATAAATAATGAATTTATATAAAAATAAAAATAAAAAAAACATTGACGATGGAAGAAGACTCGTATTTTCCGTGTTATTGCGTTACTTGTATTCTAACCATCTGTCATTACAACGTAATGAAAAAGTCTATAAATTCATTCACAAGTGCTACATAGAATTTATATTCTTCATTGAAATTTAGTCAACATTAGGCCTAATATTTTTGCATACATGTCGTTCACTTTTTACTTACTTTATTCTGTAATAGCATGATTTTTTAATTTTGTATTGCCGATTATCTTGCCAATAAGTTCAAACTAATCGAAATTTGTCGCTCTTTCTCTGAAGCACGTTGGACTAATAAATAGTTTTGCTTATTACTGAGTCAAGGATTCATGATTTGAAATGGTAAAGTTCCGGAATAATTAATGACACGTGTTGTATTGTATTTAAAAAAATGCATAAAAACATCGACACAAAAGAGATTCCACGTGCAAATAATACACTATTGTAATGTATTGTACAGAATAACTTGTATACAGATGTGCGTATAATATGTATACATATTGATTTTTTGAAGCAATGTGTCAGAATATAAAACAAAATATAAATCGAGATAACAAGAATAATAAGCCGTAAAGAGGTTATGAATTAATTATTAAAATCACACTTGTGCTGTTATTGTATATCTTATAATATAATCATATTACAAGAAATATATCCGTAGATTCGTTTAGAGCAACGTATTCCACATTCAATAGATTCGTAAGTTTTTTGTTCTTATAAAATGATCATTTTTGCACTAGCGAGTTAAGGCATAACAATGATATTAAAGATTATATAAGATTAAATAGAAGCCTTTTTACAAGGTGTAGCTTTTCAATTGGGCATATGCTACGTGCACTTATCGCATTGAATATTGTTAATTGCAAATTTAAATGAAAAGTTGAACAAGATATTTAGAAACTTCACCATTCAGTAATTTCATTAATGGTGGAATATTCCACTTTTTCTGATAGCACACCATTTATATTTATTTTTAAACAAAGGAAAAAGATGAGCTAGATTAGATCAGATCGTGGAAGTTAATGAAATCTACATATATATATATATATATATATATATATATATATATATATATATATACTATATATATATATATATATATATATATATATATA